CCCTTACTGGATCCACCCCTGCATATACATGTATAATGTCTACTTACATTCGATTCTTCGTTGCTAACAAATGTTTGACGTATACATAATAGTGAGTTTCTGTGAAGCTACGGTGGATGTCTTCTAAATATGCCAACTGAAATAGGAATTTCAACATTTGTTTGCAGGTATTATCGCTAATACTTTTGAAGTGCATGTGGATGGGCTAAGTGAACTTTTAATGTTTAAAAGTAGATCACATTCAGCATCGTAAATGGCTCGTCTTGTGCAGGAACTCTTTTATGAAAAAAATACTGATCTCAAATTAGCAATAATCATCCTTATGAACTATTGCCGGAGAGAGGGGTCATAGAAAAGAGTATGGTGTACTTTATTGGAAATGATGAAAAATGTTTCTAAATATATAATTCTGAATCTGAACCTTTTCTTGGGATTCCAAAGTACATTCAGGCCGATGTTTTTGTTTCTTCGTTGAAGATGTTTGAGCAAGATCTTGACTTTGTACCCATTCACGCTGGAAAATAAACATATCTTGTCAGATTCATGATGTGCTGTTACAGATATCCAGTAACATGACTCCTCATAATATAGTAGGCAATTGGTTGAATACAGATTCATACAATTTGATTGTTATATAATTATACGCTATTAGCAGGGAACAGTGTAATTTCACTGTTACCTGCTATTAGATTAAATAAAAAGTACATGTATTTATAATGACGACACAAATATGGCTACACTATTATACAAGATAAATGAATATTAAAACTTTAACATTACCATCAACTTTACGCTTAAAAAAATATTTAAATAGCTGTAGAATGATAGACATACAAGATAGATTATATTTGGTAAATGGAACAACGAGCTTCATCATTTCACAATGATCCATCTTTTTATACAGTACCGTAATTTATACGAAGTCAAGATGGGTTTTTCGAGGGGGGCGTTTATATATTTATTTTTTTTAATGTAAAATGAATACGTTTACACTTAATTTAAACGCCCCTTAATTTCACTGTAATTGTAGAACTACAACACAGAATTACCGTCAACATGTGTTACTCGTGATCATGAAGACATATTGATCCGAACGAGAAAAATATATTCTACTGGAGTAGAGCGTTAATAAAATGTGTTGAGAATGATGTTACTTCCATTAATTTTGTTTACAATCATTTTATGGGCGTTTATTTGAGGAAAAAATAAACGCCTAGGGCGTTAAATTCGAGGAGGACGTTTATTCAAAGCGGGGCGTTTATTTGAATAATACGGTACTTATATTTTATTATAACATACTAGCCTACCTGTCGTTTTTTCATCCTTGTGTATGATCCTATTGCTGCCGCACAAAGTCCCCATGTGAAGCGAACTATTAGAATTAGGTAGCAGACAATTACTGGAGCATTAAGGAAAAGGTTCATTACTCCGTAAACCTAGAAGATGCCATAGAACACAAGAAAATATAATAATAATAATTATAAACATGCTAGCTATAAACATATATCACTCCATAAACATATCCACATCAGTAGGGGAAGATTTTATAGCATATACTTCATAGTGTAGATTGGTATATGAAAATAGTAGTACATTCTTCCACGGTAAAATAACCAGGTTATTTCCAAGGTCTATCAGTGTCTGTGAAGAAGTATGTGTTACTTTTGTGTAAAAAGTTTTATAATTTTTAACTAGAACTTGCCTATCTCTAAAGGTTAGTGCTGGAGTGCGTCCCGTCAAGACAAAATATGAAAATGCTTTGTAAACGAGTAGGCCTAGTAGTTAATTATAGCGACATAAAACAATAATACTGTACCGTAGTAATTGTAAGACATATAATGGCTATTATAGGCATATATCAGACCAAACCAAATAAAAAATGATACATTACATTACTAATTTGATGTATCAAAATGATACTTTAAACGATAGACGCAACATCTAGCCTAGACCTATTTTGCCTCACTATGGCCTACCAAAACTCGTTGCGGATTTATCGTTGTTTTTTTTTTTTTTTTTTTTTCGTTTTTTGAAAATGAATAACAAAAAAGCTATATTCAAACAATCAATCGTAAAAATGCAATATGAGGACCAGAATCAATTGTAAGTAATGTTCGATGATATAAAATAATTCATATATATTTCAAATTGATTATAATTTGGTAGTTCTCATAGCGCCCGTTAAAATAACCTTTCACCTGACGCACGATGAATTATATAGATAATAATCATAAATTGTAATAATATTAGGCATAATAATAGGCCTGTAGGCCTATTACTGATTAGTAATTAAACTAAAGCCACAAGCGATCCTGTCGTGAAAACACCAGAATGTTTTTTTAACCAAATCATCTTGTTTACACAGTGCCTACCTCATCCTTTCTAATGACAAATGGAGCTTTGATGATGCATTCATCGTTAAAGGACCATCACGAATCTAGCGTGAATAATTCAAGTCCAGTTTCGTTGTTTGAACAGCGCACCCTCGGTAAATTTGACAACGTATTGCATTACTCTCGTCACCCTTTCTTTCGCCGTTAAACTGGTGTTACCATCAAACAAGTTATAGACACTTTATAATCTGTATATTATCATGTATTATGACTTACGACTGTATTTTCAATGTAGACGAAAAAGGTTTTAATGCAAGCTGTACTAGCATACATTCAAAATATTAATAGTAACATCTAAATATTACATAATTAGAGCGAATCTCCATAAATGAATTCTACAGTACCGAATCAACGTATGTTATTAGATTCGCTACTCCATTATAATGTTATTATAGTTCACTTTTATTAACGTTTATTTGCCTAAGTAGGTTAAGGCGTTTGTATATCAAGTAATGGACGAAGAGTTTAAATCCAATCAGTGGCATATTTCGCCTTCCATTTTTTAAAATCTTATATCGTTTATAGTTACCACAATATGATAGAAAGAAAATAAAATAAAATACTGTATTCAACTCAGGAGGATCTTACCTCAAGAAAGTTTATAAATACATACCTTTACAGTTTGATGACAGTCAACTAAGCCGTGGACATAATAAAACGTCCTAAAATAATGATTAAACAATACAAATTTTTGGAAAATTATTTACTTGAGTTTATATTACAATATTTGTTTACCGTATTTGTATTCGTATATCTGACGACCAAAACTTTAGGAGTAATAACAAGTGATGCAATAAATATCATTAAATAAATATTAATGTTTATTTACTAAAAAGCATGTACCATAAATTGACATTAATGCCACTAACATGACCAGATGATATATAGTTGAGAACGCCGACTCAAATCCTGTTATGTTAAAGCTCTTAACATAAATGAAAAAAAAAAAAGAAAACCGGAGCATTTAATAAATTCGTTACCGGATCGTAAATTATATTTGACATATTTTATCGCTTGTATCAAATATGATTTGGAAGTAATAATGGGCTTTTGCATATTACATAAATTAATAATAAAAACATCCCATTAGGAGCTTTTGTTTATATAGAGACGAGCATGGTTATTTACATACCAGTAGGCAGAGTAGACCAGTCCAATGGCGTTTCCGAAGACTCTAAATTGAGTTGTAAGGCAGAGGAATACAGGATAGAAAGCGATGCATACAAGCAAGACATTAATTGCCAGTGTGATCACATTAACCGTTCCTATATAAGAATGAATTAAAACGTTTATGCTTGGTAATGAGAACGTAAATGTTAAATAACTATACGTACACAAGATGTCAGAGGTTAATGTATAGGCCTAAACCTAAGTGTTCAGGGGATTTTTCAATATAATATGATAAGTTTCATCCAGCGGTCTGATAGAATTTAAGCATCATGAACAGCAAGTGATTGGTTTGTGACTGTAAATTCTTAACATCCAGTTAAGAGTTTCCAGTTAAAGTGTAAGTTCATAGGAAAACTAATGTGAAACGTTAGATCATTTGCGTTAAATGCTAGCTGACGGCAGGATTCTAAGAATTGTTGTACGTTAACATGATTAATTGAATGTTTAGATTGATGTTGTTAGATGGATTATTGTCTTATGTTATTTATTCATACTATACTTTCAAACATTAAGAGCTTACAGTAATATAAATATTAATTTGTAGCTATAAAATGTCATGTCATAATTGATCTACATATTTATTATAAAAAAATACCTGTCTAATGATGATGACGATGATAAGGATGATGAAAATACTACTAATAATAATACTAAGATTAATAATAATTTTATAATCATTATCATATTATTATTTATCATAGTAGTAAATTACGAACCTTTCAATACGTCAGGAACATCTGTTACGTCTATCTCAATGTAGTTAACACCTAGAAACAGATCCAGTACGCATTTCAGCGTACTACAGAATGCACTAGCAAATGTAAAGCGATCGCTATAGGCATCCACTAAATTTACAGGGCTTCAAAGAAACATTACAAAAATACATTAATGTACAGCAAAAGCATTTTTGGCGAACCATTTTCAATCATGTTGTGACGCATTAAGCGCATTATTCACAAGTGTGAGGACGAGAATGGTGACCACAATGATCAAAATGTATTTTTAATATGTATAAAAGTATGAAGTTTATTGTAAGGAGTAATAAGAACTTGGACCGGCAATACCACAGTGAATAGGTGTAACTTATTTTGGCCATGGTCGCTCCATATTGAAAAATACTGAGCGAATTCCACATGCTTACAGTACAAGAAAAAACGTGATGGAGACGCAATATCCACGCAACAACAGGGTTCTGCGATATTGCGAACCGATGACAGGACATGATGTCGTGGACACAAGAGTACCCGTAGTCAGCTTTTGCGTTGCATTTATAGTTGAATTTAGAATTGTTGCGAATTTTCGCAAAGTTTCAAACGCAAGAAAAATCCAATTTAAATGCATACTCAGTGGCGTATCCAGGATTTCGAAAATGGGGTGCCGAGTAGTATTACATGCTAATTAATATTATAAAACAATGCACAAAATCCGGCCATTAGAAAGAAGTATAAATAAAAACAAGAAAATTGTTTAGGTAATGAACTATTTATGACAAATTGATGCTTCTTAATGTATAAAATTAATAATTTACTTCCATTTATTTACTATTATTGGGTACTCTGAGCAGCTTCTCTGGGTACGCCACTGATACAACCTAAATTTTCTAGCTAGGAGTAATTGCATTCACGTCTGTGTTGACGTAATTTGAAGAATTTCACATTTAGGAAAGAGATGTAATGCGTATTTCATTAAGTTACATCGATTAAATTTCGTTGCGACATTTTTTTTGTTATTGTTGAAACCAGCGCCTTTTAGCATAGTCATATAGTCATGGCCTGAAACTGCACTTAGTAATAATGAAATATAGGTCTAGCGTTTAACGTAGCCTGTCCAACAGATAAAAAACACATTAACTCACTAGATAATGCCCGGAAGACCAGAAGTACAACCTAAACACAACCTCTTACGTCGCTGAAGCATAAAGAACAATCCAACAATACATGCCTATAGGAACACGTTTAATGTTAGTGTAAAATCATGCTTACATATCTAATAAGATGAAGGGTGTGTAAAAGCAACTTCATACCTGGCCTAGGCCTATTTCATTCCATAATCTCCAGATTTATGCCTAGTAATATCGTAATATATAAACATATGTGCACAAAATGCTCTAAATGCAAAATAGTGGAAACAGAGTGAAAGAGTGCCTTCAGTGAGCACTTCAGTATAGTGGAATAGATAAATAGTGAAAAGGAGTGTGATTCAGTCTATTCAGAGTGAATTTTACTATTTTTTTTACTAATTTAAGAATCGTATTCACTTATTTAAGAGTTGAAATTTCACTGGAGAACGAGCGAAATTAGAGTGATATCTGTAGATATTTTTAGAGTGAAATTCATTCTTATAAAGCTAGTCGAGTGGTATTTAAAACAGTGACGCTTAATACGGATTTACCATTAGTATCAGTTGTTCTATGTAGACAACATAGGCCTATCTGGTATTGAAAAAAAATATTAAGAAACACTGTATGTTTTTGATTCTTTAATTTCACCTACCGAAGCTACTTGACTCCATTTCAGCCAATCAATAAACTCATACGTTGGGTTTAGGCAAGTGTCACTAACTGTGGGTATATTATAGTGACCTGTACTCGTCCCTGAAATGAATATATTTTGAATGATATTTTTTTACATACGGTATATACAGTAGATATCTAAGGTAACCGCGAATCCCCTTGTGGTAACTCCGACGTAATAAACAATGTAATTGCAATATAAACGCTATAAAAGATATAAGGTAGTCATTAGGGGTGTGTTAGGCAGCTATACATTTGATTACATTATTATATACACTTATATTTATAAGCCTATACATAAGCCTATTTAATTTATATAGTTGACGCAATAACAATAAATGCCATATAATCGTATCAAGTGTCAATATTCAACAAAATATTGTCCTTTTGAGTTTGGAAAATGGTCTCTGGCGTGGTTCGAATCTGGCATCTTCATTAAATCAACACTGTGTTAAGGATATCTTGACATCTTAAAAACAGGGAACCGTGATTCTGTTTTTCTGGTAAAAGAGAATCTCGTTATATATTTAAATTTGTTTTAAATATCTAATGTATTCTTACCATTTTGTAGTTTCGTCACCGATGTCATCTTCAACCTATCTCCATCAAGGTGTGATACAAGGAGGACAGCAAGCAGGGCTTGTTTGAATTTACTGAGGGTAAGTTGGCAATCAATAGCTATGGAATTGTACACAAAAGATGAGATGAAGCATAGCAGGGTGATGTCACTGTGGATCGACACTGTGTATTGAGAATACGGAATATTATAATAGTGGAACATTAGGCCTAAATTTGATGATGTAACAGTGGCATAACAAAGGGGCTCTTTAGGGTCGCTAGGGGCTGGGGCCGCTCCGGTGTTTTTTTTAGCGTTCTATGACGTTGTTTTATGCATTTTTTACACATTTCAATTCTATGTTTATGTATCGTTATTTGACAAAAGAAAAGCATACTTAATTTTAACTAAGATATCCTTGATAAACATATTACAATAAATACCACAGACTTTGCCTTGAAAAGAGCCTTGGTTATTCGTTTGTAAAAAAAAATATTTGGATTTGCTGGGGGCCGCTTGAGGAACCGGAGCAAATGGCTTTAGCCGATGAGAGCTTATAGCCGTTACGCCACTGTGATGTAACCGTTCATGTTTGCTTTCTACACGATGCTCATAGATGCAGAGTCATGCTTTGTGCAGCTGATGCTTCATGCAGTTATTCTGCCAGTTAAAACATTATGATCAGTGAATGATGGCATGAAATACTCAACATAGAATACGACTAACAATGCAAATGTCAGCTAAAATTTTCAGTAACAAGGCTGCACTTGCGTATTTCAGTCGTTCAAACAATTGGGCTGTGTCTGACTATCTTCGTCGAGGAGAGCTGCCCCCACCCCCGTCGAGAAGAAAAAACAAAATTCATCGGGGAGAAACAAAACTAATATGTATTATATTATTAGTAGACTCTAAAATTGATTAAGTAAGCCTAAAATCCATTAAGTAATTGTCATATTTTTTTTTTTGGGGGGGGGGGGTTCGTCGCCTGGACCGCTTTCGAAAGATTTTGTGCCACGCCCGACCACGCCTATTTTTCTCTCGTCAAAGACACTGACTCCCCGTCGGTGACCTCGGAATCCCCCCCCGGTTTGGTCAAATCCTGGCGGCACCCCTGGCCCATCGTCTCAAAACGATCTCTCTGTTACTTTTTACGTTTCAAATCCTAAAGAAAGATCTTTTACTTTATATGCATTGCGTCTTTGATCTCATTGGAATTGACGCCATAAATTCGAAATAACATTATCATTATTACTGATCTCATTGCTTTTGTTTGTATGTCGGTTGGGTTCATGGTATACCGCACTGTATGCTATTAACCAAGTTTGGATTTCGAGTAGGCTAATATTCTTAATTGTACACTAATTGCCAAATAATTTAATATCGATAGCTTTTATTAATAAAAATGCCAATTGCCCGTATCCATGAAAATTTGGCCATAGGCCTATATATCACAGATTACATAGGCCTATATAATTGTTGAGTTTGTTTTTATACTTTCCGAATTAGGCCTACTTGTTTATATATGTTATTGTTAACTTATTTCTGTTTTTATTGTTATTTGTTATGTTGTGGTCATTGAATTCATATTAACAACTTTCAATCGATAGTTATAGTTCCAATAATGATATTAATATAATTATAATGTCAGTCAAAAATTTACAATATTGTACCCAGTCGTAGCCGTCAGTACGCGTTAGCCGTTAGACTATTGTTACGGAAGCCCGACAATAAAAACACGTCAGCATAGGAGAACAGAGATGACCGCATTAAATCAGAAATTTAATTAGTAATACTAATCGTATCCTATTACAGAACCCAAATATCAATTATATGGATCCTATAAATAGATTCAACAATTTTGACGAGTTCTTGCTAAGTGTCGGTTCTTTTGATCCGCCATTACTCTAATTCCGCTGCTCCATACACGATTATCATTGATTAGCGCCGACTAGCGGTGGAATAACAAAAAAAAATATTATCAAACCATTGACGAGCAAAATTTGAAATATGACATTAGGTCATTTAGATTTAATTTCCAATTTCAAGAAGTACTCGGATTATGATATACGTACTGATCTTTCGAGAAATAAAAACGATTTATAACTAGAGGTAAAAGTATCTCGTAAGGACATCATATCGGTTGTGTGGAAAAATGTAAAATATATATATATATATATATATATATATATATATATATATATATCGTAAGTGTATAATAGGGTTCTAAGATATTGGCCTACTGTATGGTCACATACCAACCAGCTGCACGTCCTATTACTATTGGCCCGAAAAGAAAACGTAATTTGACTTTAAGATAGTGTGGTAATCCTGTTTAGAGAGAGATATGAGAGCTCATTATTAAAACGTTGAAATTACTCGGTAGTAAATGTCACGGTGATTAAGAATGCCTGTGTTGTCATTAGCAAACATTACTCAATATTTTTGCAAGTCAAAAAAATTCACAGTACACCACACTATCTGACATTCATGAATCGTTATAATGTAGGTCTATACTGACTTCTGTTAAAGGCTTTGAACCATGGCAGAGCAATTCCTGCAATGCCATAATATTTAAGATTAGTTTACAGGATAATATGATCAATGGTATCGAAAGCGTTTAACAGGTCTAAAAATACACATTGTGAAACATCTATTTTCTATTGCTGAGTTTATATTTGCAACCAGGTGTAAGAGAGAATGATTAGTGGATAGTGTTTACAAAAACGGAACTACTTCATTATTAACATGTAAGGGTTGCATACAGTCAAACAATGTATTACTAAATTAAGTACAAGGTATTCAAGTACTACATGAAAGTTATCTATCTATAAAAAAAAACAAAAAAAAAAAAAAAACAATGAAAGTTATCTATCTATAAAAAAAAAAAAAAAAAAAAAAAAAACAACAACGTCGCATTCGAGGACGTATCATCTTCCGCGTGGGACAGATCATGGTTTTGAGCATGGAGGAATTAGTTTAAAATCATTAATGGTTTGAGGGGGCGGGTGGGGTATTCCTGATGATGACATAATTAATGTCGAAATATTGAATCCCAACACGATGGCATGTATTTCAATACTTGGAGTATGTATTATACTTTCTTATTTGGGCCTATCTAGTATTTGGAAGCTCATGAATATTTTTTTAAAGGCTATTTTAATATATTATCTAAATATAACTACTCGGAGGAGAGGTGGGAGGAGGGGGTTGAGTGGCGGTGAGCACCACTTGCATCACATCACTGATCATCCATTGCAGTACCCTATTAAGTTCTAATGAAATGTATTCAATCTGTGTTCAGGTATACCGTATTGCGTTGGTTAAAAATTTAATTCATATAAAGCACTATTTATTGAGTGGGTATAATTTAATTAGTAATATATATTATTAGAGCAGATGTATCACTCTGACTACTCTAGGCTAGTTAAAATCATCCATATTGTAAAAAACACAAAATAACGTAAACGGTACATATACAATATTTATCTGAGAGAAAATAACATGTTTAGGCCTACACCGGCATTCAACAGTAACTTGGAAATAAAAAAAAACATAATTATTTTCAACCATTATACTCTAGGAAAAAATCTGAAAAATTGACGTCAGAAATGTTAGAAGCAGACATCCATGCCAGATGTCTTTATTGACACAAACTGTTCACTCCCACTTTAGATGACAAGTGCGTCTAAACCCTATATGCAAATTAGGGACAGCTAAATATATTTAAAATGTACATATAATCTGGCATTTGAAGTTAAACAAAGTATCAACAAAGATTTTCTTTTTTTAAATTAAGGCATGTGACAAGAAAGTAAACTTCTGCAAATTCCACCTCCGTCATATGCAAATTAGCTAAAATTAATATGCAAATTAGCTAAAATTAATATGCAAATTAGCTAAAATTAATATGCAAATTAGGAACAAAAATATAGAGTTTGATATCTTTCTAACCAGTGGTCACAGAAACTTCAATTTTTTTTTACATGTACATAGTTCAGAAAAAGCATGTTTCTATCTGTTCTAATGCATTAGTTGCTTCAAAATTAACCGAAAAATATCATATTTGACCTATGACCATTTGTTTTTAGGATTTCCATAACTACTTTCTGTAAAGAATTTAATTTGGTCTCAAATTCCTCAGAGGAGTTTTTCTATCCACTGTACTACAACGAAGAGATAAAAAAATGTTTCTGTTTACTCTAATGTAACATTTGGGGTTGGGGTGACCAGATGGTGTCAATAAAGACATCTGACATGGGTGACTGCCTCTAAAATTCTACTTCTAAAGTGATTCCTAGGCCACTTTTCAGATTTAACCCCCCTGGAGTATTAACTAAATAAGTGGGGAAGAATATTATTCACATTAGATACAACTACCGGAAATCTGCTAAAGTTTAATAACCTGTAATCACTTGTAATTTAAATTTCTTTTTCTTAGCATTAATTTCCATAAATGTTTGTTAATTTTAATATCAGTGGTCTATACTTCATATCACAAATGATTGATTACTCATCATTACATTAAATTCTAGTAATATGGACTCAGCAAGAGCAATTAATGATGATAAATAATACGTGCGTGACTTCTAAACTACTGACTACGTAAATAGTAACTCATTTGTGTCTCATATCATTTTTTTTTCTGTAGAAAATATTAGCGTCATAGACTTTATAGATAAAATAATTTAATAAATTCAATGGTTTTCTTATTGCGAGAAAGTATGGTGTCTGTTAAGGAAATAACGAAAACATTCTGAGAAGAGATAAGATTCAGCATTGGTTTCAATTATGTTTTTTACAATGGCATGTTGTTAAAAGGCAGTCCCGTATTCATTATAATTGAGTTGTTATAGGCCCATCGTACTAAGCCCAAGCGTTGTGTGTAGAGGGTGCCCAGTTCCTTTCCACGCCGCCTATTTAACCACCCCAGTGTATTTCGTTTATATTTCTAGTGGAGATAGACGAGCTTAGCAAAAGACACAAGTGAAATGCACAGCGAAGGTTCGAGTTTGTGAGACCAAAACGCAACTTTAGTGAAAACTGATCAGATGACTATGTTAATAATAGAAAGTTATTAAAATTTTTATCATATTTTGATTTTGGAATCATTTATTCCGTCCTTAAAACCTTGGCTTATAATATTTCTCTACAAACAGTAGGACTTCACCAATCAAGCTATTGTTTTCGCCTTCAGACAAATATAAATGGCGTTCAGGTCCGAAATTGGGTCAGACATGGTGAATGTGCATTGGGTAGTCATTTGACGCTGTCGGGGGAGCGCCCGTGGGGTGGACCACCGTGAGGTGGACCATCTCAGATTTTGGTTATACATTTTCTTTATTAGATCTTAGGAATTTTCTCCCATTATTTCATTCAATTCGTAAGTTGATTATAGATTCTAATAATATATAAACATTATTTATTTACAATACATGTGCATAACTATTAGTATTATTATATAGGCCTATTATTATTATTATTAAATTATTAGTATTAGTATTTTACACGAGCTGATAGATAATACATCATCTAGATGTGTATAAGAGACAAATCTTGATGCGATCTAACAATGAAAAATTAATATTGGTAACGTAAGTATGACGTAACAAGACAACAACGTATTTATGCCGTTAGCTATATCGGAGTGAAGTTGTATATTCTTAGATAGTTCTCGCCTTCCGATTCCAAGAAGGTAGGCAAATCTTAAAATATCCCACCAGCGAGAGACTTGATAATAGAGCCTTCAATAATGCTCAGCTTGGATGGCTTGAAATCATCATGATCGTTAAAACGATATAATATAAACTATCATTTTGTATCCATATCATACTTAGAAAGCTACATTCGTCACTACATATTTCACAGTATTTTATGTACTCAACACGTACATTATGGCGACATAAAAATCGGGAGTAGGTATCTGATGACGTCATAAAAACTACGTATAGCTTTTTAAGGAAAACATTGACAGGAGCTCTAACCACACTATCAGATTTTTTTTTGAAAAAAATCCTTGTTGTATACCCAAATATAATCATGATGTGCACATATATGGTCATGATGTGATGTCATCCTGACCGTATGTAGGCATGCCACATTTTTTTTTGTCAAATAAAATTTGATAATCTGGACAGATCTTTAAATTTACAATAAAGTTTCGATATATTGATGAAAACTTCGATTTATGAAAGTATTAGTTCTAATTAACAAATAAAAATCATTAACCGCTTAAGGCTAATAAGAATAATTATTTCAATATGTAATTTTTTTTAGAAGACGTACAAAGCTAATTTCCCCTTACTTACACAGTAGTTCTGCATCCCATTTATATACCATTGATCAAAATTAAAAACATTTCCACAAATGATTATGCCATCCTGGTTAAAGATATTATTAAATAAATATGCTTACTGCATTTTGTTTATTTAGTAAATAAGAATGTTACGAGTGGAATGCTTAAGGCTAATAAGAATAATTATTTCAATATGTAATTTTTTGTAGAAGACGTACAAAGCTAATTTCCCCTTACTTACACAGTAGTTCTGCATCCCATTTATATACCCATGATCAAAATTAAAAACATTTCCACAAATAATTGTGCCATCCTGGTTAAAGATATTATTAAATAAATATGCTTACTGCATTTTGTTTATTTAGTTAACAAGCAATAGAAAATGATTTATGAAAATAAATCTTATTAAGGTGTGTCGTTAGCCCTCGTCATATCTTCGCAGAAATCGATACTCCAACAGGTATTATGTTGCTAACAAAATGATAAATTTAACACCACACCGAATGATATTATTACTGCATGTGTCCGAGAAATGATTATCGTTCCCATGCAGTTTAAGGCGGAAATGTATGCTTCCATCATTTTGTCGTTATTCACAAAAATCGTGATGGATTTTGAACATCGTTAGTCTCTATCATAGCAAATCACAGTGACGTAGTAACTGCAGAATCCAGCCCGTCAACTACGACCGACATCGCCGATATTTCACTCTATTCGTAAACAAAAGAAGAATTCAACACAGATTTGTTGAAAAAAATCATATACAAATAATGAATGTTACGAGTGGAATGCGATAGAATATTTCATGAGATGAAAGACTAATGTTCAACGGAACTAAAACGTTCTATTCAACCATCGTTCAATAGTCACTGATATAACCATGGAACAGTCACTTTAAGTGAATCCCACGTGACCTGTATTCAACCAATCAGATTAATACTATATATATATATATACACACACACCCACACACACATATGTATATATATATATAATTATATATATATATAATTATATATATATACTGTATATATACTGTCTCTTATACACATCTAGATGTGTATAAGAGACAGTATTTCCGCTTTACTGATCTTAATTGAGACATTTTTCAAGCTCACTTTGTGAACCTGTACTCGTTAATGTAGATTGCTTTTAGCTTTGTCCCCATTATTGCTAGCACTGATCCTAGGAATGGTTTGTCGTGTTAAAGTCATTAGGCCTACTGTGAGTGTAATCTACAACTTCAGTTCGTTTTACATTAACCTACCGTTCCACCGTCATTTTATCTCTAGACCTAATCACGTGGCTTTTGTCATCACATTTTACAGACTTATACTTCTACTACCTTTGTTAACTTACTTTTTGCTTTTGCAATCTTTCATTTCTTATCCGCTCGAGTTCTGGCAGTAGTGGCTTGCGATTGACGAATATGTGTTGGTTACGCATTAGAGTTAAAGCAACAAACCATCGGTTACGTGCCACTTGATTTCTTTTTCTAGTTTCTGGTAGACTGACTTCATTATCAATGTTAACTGAAGAAATTAAAGAACAAGCCAACATTCAAACACACAGTCATTGTAACATAAGCGTAATAAAAATAATTGATTTAGTTCTAAAAATATGTTTTTATATAAGTAACACTATATTTTTATATTTTGCTTCATACTCTGTTGTATTGTACAAGAGTCAGGTATGATGCAGAGTGAATTAATAATACCCATTATGAATGTATGAATATTATTACTATCAACATCGGTCATACCTACAGGACATTGTGAGAATTCACGGTAAATAGAGAGATTTAAAAACAATTGTACCTAGGCCTACATAGACAATGATTCGATAACTCTTTTCCCTTTTTCATTCCATTAGATTTTTCTCATTTCGAGCAATTTGTTTTAATTATTCAGTATTTATCTAATATATTTTAAAATAAATAATCCAATACGTTGGTGTTGACTTACGCAAGCTTTCATCTTGTTGTCAACAAGACTTCATCAGGCATTGTTACCCTTTTACTACGCTTCTTACTTTAGGCCCTGGCCTTTCTTTTTTGTAATTTGTTATTGTAGTGTTTCTTATTATTTCAACGGGTCCCCTTCGTAAACCAGCAGAAATGCTTAAAGGTTTATCCATAAATTCTCTATAATTGTTGTTTTACGACTTATTTAATTTCTGTACTTTGTTTACTTGGGAGAATTAAAAAAAAAAACAACAACACAAAAAAACAACAAATAAAACCCAAATCAAATTCAATTCAACCATAACCGAATGCTTGAAAATAATGGTTAAATAAAATAACAATTTTTTTGGAAAATAGTAATTATTGGGCAATCCTTTGGAAATTGTAAAATATGATATTCACCCTGCTCAGTCGGCTAATCTGGTGGTAGCCACTTTGTGTGCGCTGAACCATGGAGATCTATAGGTCCCGGTTCAATCCACAGCGCTGCCTTTCCTTGTGTTTCAGCTGGAGGGCTGAAATACAAGCTACAATTGCGCGCCGTCTTTCGTATGAGACGTTTAAGCCGTTAGTCCCGTGTGCATTTATGGTCCATGTGCACGGAAAAGAGTAGGAGATTGTCTCCCGGTGTACTGCGCAATCACCACCAGAAGGACCCCACTGGAATAAGTCTTCTTCTAGACTTTCGTGGGCTATCTTTGGTTTTTTAATTCTATGCCAGTGGTTACATTGTATGTTAAATTAGGCTTATTAGTCTACTAAGCTCCGGGAGTGAATTAAAACAGGTCTCGTACCTTTAAAGCCGATACTAGTCTCCCGTCGGCGATGTCTAATCGTGCTCCATAATATTTGACAAAATGTGACTAATACAGGGTGAGTATGAGCAACTTCCAGTTTCAAGAACCCAAAGTATGCATTATAGCCTACAACAAATGTATAAACAAAAGTTAGTTGTGTGTACAGCATACAGGTCTGGATTTACTATTTGAGGAGTTAATTCCTCCATAGTTCAATATTGGTGGTAGATGGCGCATGGGGATTGATAAGCTAACTTTCTTGAAGAACGATAGTGAATATATCTGTGATTTTCATACCTCTTCAATTAATATTTCTGTCATAATGTGTAGGGTCTGGCCCCTCCAGGCAGCAACCTTTAAAAGATAAATGAGTCTGCCTCCATGCAATAAGTTAATATATATGATGCTATTCTCTCGAGATAGCCAGTGGCTTAAATATCTTAAAATAATTTTGAAAGTGCATATTTTTAGCACGTGTTTTTCCAATATCAAATTCGAATGTTTTGCTTTCTTAAGATCTTACATCGTGTGGCAGGCGATAGTAGCTGTTACCGGCTTACCGGCCCTACATTTCGTATGGTAGGTTGTAAACTAGTGCCAAACTATCCTACGTCAAAAAAAATTTGCTTACCAGTCAGCTCACGAAGAGACTCTTATACTCAGGGGAGAAGAACTGTAGTCCACGCTTTGTGCGCTCTGATTCTCACAAAATAGCGCTATATAGGCTAAATGATGTTATGTATGTATGTTAAAAGAAATTAAGATTGCAAATAATTTTATGAGTGTTACGGATAATGAAGTGCAGGCC